AAAGGCGAAATTATTATATTTAGATAATTGGTAGAAAGTCGTTTGAAGGCGTTAGTACTAATTTGTTTGTTGTGATTAGCAATAGAGTAAACCATCATTGGTTATGTGCGCGACGGTGGCGACGCATAGCGCTTACAACATTTGCGGAAGCTGTCAAATATTAACAGTGTAAACATTATAATTTTTTTGCAAATATAAATAAAACCAAAGATTAAAATAGCATTGTTGACATTATTTAAGTGCAATTTACATACATACATACATAACTTCACGCCTGTCTCCCATGGGGGTAGGCAGAGACTAAGGAACGCCAATTACTACGATTCTTACATACCTCTTTCGCTTCCTTAACAGTCATCAATCTTTTCATGCATGCTCGTCGGTTAAGGGTACTTTTAATTTGGCCCTTCTTTAATGCAATTTATTCAATAGTTTTACTGTAAAATGAATATAATAATAAAAACCGGGTTTGCAATATCCGCTTTTGTTTCCAATTTCTGCCGTGTTATGCGCTGCGGTCGTTATCTATCCGCCACTACTTTGCACATAGCCAATACAAATGTCCATCTAATTATAGATTTTTAAGGTGTAAATATTTTAGTTATTTATATTTCTAATATTAATTTTAGTTTAAATTTAGCGTAGCAATATAGGTATATTTATAATATAAATATTTAAATCATGTAGTTTATACAGGGTGTCCCTGAAGTCGACGATCAAATGGCACCAGGTGATCGCCAAGGTTCTGTACTGAGTACGTAGTGAGAAGGGCATTGACATAGACATATTTAATATAACATAGCATAACATAACATCACGCCTTTTATCCCCGAAGGGGTAGGCAGAGGTGCACATTATGCCACTAGAATGTAATATCCACTTTTCACAATTTATGTTATGAGTCCCATGTAATAGGGGGTGAGCCTATTGCCATATACCGGGCATATTTAATAGCAATAAATAAATAAATAATATTTCACCTGTTGCAAAGCGGACACATTCTCGTCGTCCATGACGGCGAACTGCGTGTAGCTCTGGTCGGCGCGGGCGCGGGCTGTACGACGCGCTCCTACCGACAAACAAACATATATACATACATGTACAACTATAGTATCTAACACTAAAGTAATCATATGGTAAAGACGAGAGGATTAGTAGCAGCTACGTGTTTTCATGGTTTTTTTTTTAAAAGGGGAAAATCATCGAATGACTGCTCCCGCCTGGGTGAGGCGGGAGGGAGTGTCACACTCTTACTGACTAAACACCACCCCGTTCCTTCTCCTGCACGTCGAGCCGGAGCCCCGGTTACCCGTTAGGTTCTCCGCGATTTTTTATGGAATAGGAGGCAAACCAGCAGTCATTAGAGGCGTCACAGAAAGTCACACGTAACACTAAGTAACGCTTAGTTAAGATATGGTTGGGGAAAACGGTTTTAAGACATAAATTATTATGATTTCGGCTTCCTCACGTAATAATTTGACGAGCAACTCGATTAGTTTCAAGCCATGCTAGAGGCTCATATTCATGAGCAGCATTTCGCGACCCGCGACGCGGCGCCTGTCACACTGCTACTACTACAGTGGCAGCTCTAGCATGGCTTGAAACTAGTCGAGTTTCTCGTCAAATTATTACGTGTTTTTTTATGGCATAAGCCGGTAAACGAGCAGACGGATTACCTGATGGTAAGCAATCGGCGTCGCCCATGGACACCTGGAACACCAGAGGCGTTACAAGTGCGTTACCGGCCTTTTGGGGATTAGGAGTTTGAGGATCGTTGGGGATTCAGGAATTGGGGAGATTGGGGAAGGGGAGGGTAATTGGGCCTCCGGTAACCTCACTCACACGACGAAACACAACGTAAGCGTTGCTTCACGTCGGTTTTCTGTGAGACCGTGGTATCACTCCGGTCGAGTCGGCCCATTCGTGCCGAAGCATGGCTCTCTTACACTTAGAAGAGTAAGCCGAAACATAATAATTTATTTAGTATGTCTCACGAAAGTTACAATACAAACTTACCCAGCATCTTAACTAACCAATGTGTATTTGAACACGACACACCACTTTTGAGAACAAACTACGAACTATTATTTTATTATATTTTTAAAACAGCTATAGGTGAAATCGCTAATGACTTGTAGTATTTTTAAACCCCATCTAATTAGGAACGAGGTCAAATGTTTGTGTATTATGTGAATATTTCGAAACGACACGGTCAAGTGCGTGTTTGTAACGTGGTACGGTGGGTTCTGTATGTTTATATTTTATATTTATAAGATACAGTTTTTGATATATGCAGAGGTGGTTTCAAGTGTGGGAGGACCATGCTTCGGCACGAATGGGCCAGCTCGACCGGAGTGATACCACGGCCGAGTAGAAAACCGACGTGAAGCAACGCTTGCGTTGTGTTTCGTCGTGTGAGTGAGGTTACCGGAGGCCCAATTACTCTCCCCTTCCCCAATCTCTCCAATCCCTGAATCCTCAACCATCCTCAAAGTCCTAATCCCCAAAAGGCTGGTAACGCACTTGTAACGCCTCTGGTGTTCCTGTTGTCCGTGATCCGGTGATCCGTCGGATCGTTTACCGGCTTATGCCATAAAAAAAACTCGGCTTCGGGGCTTTTGATGATGAAGAGAAAACGAGTAGAGATATGCTCACCTCTCTTGAAATGCGTGTCTGAGTGTACACTGTCCACGTCCGCTGCTATTATTCTAGGACTTACAGCTTCACCTGCAGACAAAAAAGTAAGTAGGTAATTAACTTGCTTACATTTATTAAATTAAATTTTAATCGAGCACTTGCCAACTAGTCAAATTCAATACTTTTTTCGAACTGTCAAAAACGACGGTTTTCTGTGAATTTTGTACGAGATTGTGTATTGTGACGTGACGTTTTATTAGCGTCAAACAGTATAATTATTTCTTAAAAATTTGCTGGTACATTACTAAAATTAAGTTGGTCATAAAATCAATTGATGAAAGTGTGATTATATTTTAAATATTTTATTGTATTGAAGATAATTTTTGCATGTCTTGGTTGCAAAGGTGAACTGCGCATCCATCTAACATTTTGCAACACATCTAAATATAGTGCATTTCAGCAATATACATACCCGGAGTAGCAGGTGACGCTGCAGCAAGTTCTTGTACACAAGTGGGCGGCGCCGTCACTACGCGGAGACGGGCCAGGGTTGGGCCTCCACCTGGGCAAAGTCAAAGCATTTATTTATTTCTATTAATCCTTCATTAGGTAAGTTTTCAAAATTTAAATCGTCTGGTATAAGATCATATACATGGAACGTGTCATGTTCGTGAACGGGCGCCGTCAATTGGGTCTGGTCAGCTCCAGACTGTATTATTGACTGTATTATCCTCAAGGTTATTTTCTTTTTCAATCTCTTTGACTGGATTTAGGTGTTGCATTGCTCTTGCACAACCGAACCAACAAACTATGTAACTAGAGAATTGTATTGTGAACCTGATTGTAAAAGAGTAACCTATGGAGTTTCTTGCTCGTTCTTCTCCATAGGAATCTACACCTTGGAATGAGCAAATAGCTTCACTTCTAAATTTTTGTCTATGTAATGTAATGTAAATATGTAATACGTCTCTTTGTTCTCAAATGTAGATTCACAGAATGTTTTAAACTGTCAAACACTGCGAGGACACTGGTGACCGCAACCTATTGTTATTTAATTGTGTCTATAATGACGGTACTCAAAGATTTAAATTGTTATATACAATGGTAAAGAAAATGAGAGGTGTAACTTATTGACAACACAGTTGGCGCGGTGGCTGGGCATCTGGCTGCCGCGCATCATGTCGCGGGTTCGATTCCCGCACGGAGCAACTGTATGTGTGATCCACAAATTGTAGTTCCATGTCTGTGTGATGTGTATTTTTTTTAATGGGATAAGTCCGCCACAACCTCCCAAAACCGCTGCAACTCCTGTGCACCAGGATCTACAGTAGATACAATCATGCAAACACCGGAACACTGAAGCCCAGCATCCCAGGGACATGAGTAACTGTCTTGGTTCCCGCAACGAAGTGAATCAGAAGATATTATAAGAGGACAAGAAGAAAAAACTATAGTTTCCACTTCCCTCGGTGAATTACTGCAGGAGACAGAATGAATTAAGCCTAAAGGCACAAAAAAGAGACTGTACAACTGGGTGAAGCCCAGTCGCCAAGCACCACGGAAATTTGACTAAAAAACTAAGTGGGTCCTATGTGTGAGCTGTTATACTTGCTTCCAATAATAGGTATGGCAAAAGCGCCTAAACGCAAGGAAATTATACGGATCTTATCGAATCTAGAAGAAATTTCCTATGTGTGAGCTGTACGTGTATGTGAACTTGTATGTTTGTAAACGTACACACGACACAGGAGGAAATCCTATAGTCAGAATTTTAATTAGATTCCAGATTTGACAATAGCTACTGTCATTTAGTGAAATAATGATACCACATATAATAGTGTAGTGATGCACACAAAAATCGACAAACAATCAGTGTGTGTGTTTTATAATAAATATTACAGAAAGTGACAGGATAGCGATAGCGATGACGGCGACAATTTATTAAATAACTTATTACCATCATACATCTATCTGTTTCATTTGTCATGTTCCTTCATAATTACATTATTTTATTTATTTCACACACAATTATAAAAGAAAAGTCTCAGATCGTTAATTAATCGTCAAAACTAAATTATCGGTTCAGAAATATTTAATTAACTGATATACTTAGTTTACGAGAGTAAAATTATAAACGAGAAGAATCGATCCAGAAATATTTCATTTCCATATCGAATAATTTCGCAACGTCACTATTTAGTACTTGTCATAACGTTGCAACACTGAAATTGTCAAATCTGGAATCGAATTAAAATTCCGAGTATAGTGTTAGACTTTTTATTTAAAAAAAACCTCACCTGGAGCTGGAGGCCTAGGTTTACAAGGCGGCACGCTCTGTCGCTCGGGCCGGGTCGTCGTGCCCGTCACTGCCGACGTACTCGTCTCTTGTTGCTGGGATAATATACCCACGTTACATACACACATACATACGGACATTACTTATTAATATTACCGCTTACTTTTCTGTAAATATACGAGGACTGTTCGACTAATTTCGACCTATGACTGGAGCTCAAATTCAATTATAGAAGCAAGTGAATGCAGTGTAAAAAATATACATATTTACGAGTAACATGTTAAGCGTCGTGATAATCCATTGTTTTCTTATGATTACGGACCCCTATAGTGGCTCGAAATCAGTGGGGACTCCCGGAATATTATGTGAGGACGAATAGTAATTTTTAATTACATTTAAAATGCGTACCTCCGGTGCTATAACGTCACTTATGTATTTCGGGGGCGCGCGCGCAACTGAACAATAAAACGTTATTTCTCCCGGTGCCATTCAGATTAGCGCCAAAACCGTAACGACAGTAATGCCCTCACAATGACAGTTTGCGTACTACACAAATGACAATAACGCACCAAGTAAAGAGGTGAATTTGGAGTATTCTTTCATAATCAGTTAAGTTTTGACAAAAATTGCATAAGTGACGATATTGCACCGTAGGTGCGATATGATTTATCGTGGTAATTGGAAAAATTACGCCTGTTGTTAAAATATCTTCAAAATAACAAATAAATTTAGTATTTATAACAAATCTAAGTCAATTCAAAATCATACGAAATGATTTAGGATTTTGTCCAAAACTCGAATATAAGTATTGTGACTTTCGTGAGACATAGTAAATAAATTATTATGACGTGTGTAGCAGTGCGACAGTCACCGCGTTTCGAGTCTCGAAATGCTGCTCATGAATATAAGCCCCTAGCATGGCTTGAAACTAGTCGAGTTCCTCGTAAAACAGTTACGTGAGTAAGCCGAAAACATAATAATATATTTAGTACTAGTAACCCGCTCCGGCTTCGCACGCGTGCAATATGCATGTATTATAAGTGCCTATAACCTTCCTTAAGAATCACTCTATATATTAAAAGAAACTGCATCAAAATCCGTTGCGTAGTTTTAAAGATCTAAGCATACATAGGGACAGACAGACGGCGGATAGCGACTTTGTTTTATACTATGTAGTGATGTCTCACGAAAGTTATAATGCAATAGCAACTTATCATAGTGAAATAATAAGACAATATTACTTATATGTACTATGTATTTCAGTTCAACAATTTACCTTGGCATGTCTATCGGGAGAGGGCGCTGGTGTAGTCCTAGGTTCCGCCTCCTTGTCCGTTGTCGTGGGCTTGTCAGTCGTCGACTGTTGACGAAAATTATAATTTTAATTACATAATTTATTAACATTCGCGCAATGATGTGACGTGTGGTGACGGCAGAGTAGAACACATTTGTCACCACCGCTACTCTTCCCGCGGGTGTCGTATACCCGACTAAGAGACTACACATTAGACAGAGACCGGGCAGCAGCGCTCTCTGATAAACCAGCAGCTGTAGCCAAATGCCATTTGACGCTTGTCTACTTGTAGAGTAGAAAACCAAATTATATGGGATTGACGTAAATTTTGACACTTGTCAGTGTCATCCCCATACATTTTGATTTCTACTCTCTGTGTAGACAAGCGCAAAAGTGGCGTTTGGCAAAAGGCACTGAACCTTTTATACTGCGATCTCTAACTCAAGCGCGGAGATTATGACAAACCCCTCTTATGTAGAGGAGGCTCATAGTGCAGCATTGGACTGTCATAGCTCGATTATGATGATAATATAATCTCTGTGCAACTTGGAAATTGCACTCTTAGTTAATTTTCAAGAATATACTTGCAAAAATTACCCCAATTACCGCCCCCCCCCTTCCCCAAATCCCCTCAAAATGCTAAACCATAAGGCCGGTAACGTACTTGTAACGTCTCTGGTGTTCCGAGTGTCCATGAGCGACGTCCATTGCTTACCATCAGGTGATCCGTCTGTTCGTTTACCGGCTTATACCATAAAAAAATTTTAGATTATTTTCTGGTATTATCTATATATATAAAAGAAAGTCGTTTTAGTTACACCATTTATAACTCAAGAACGGCAGAATAGATTTGGCTGAAAATTGGTAGGGAGGTAGCTTAGAGCCAGGAGACGGACATAGGATACTTTTTATACAATACTTTTTTTTTTTACTTTTTACCGAAAATCACGAACGGGGACGGGAAAAAATGGGATTACGCGTACGAAGTTGCGGGCAGAAGGTAGTTTTATATATAGTTACATATCCGTTGAGATGGTGCGGCTGGTGCCTGGGCGAGGCGGGGTGCGGCCGCTTGTCTACTTACATATCCGTTGAGATGGTGCGGCTGGTGCCTGGGCGAGGCGGGGTGCGGCCGCTTGTCTACTTACATATCCGTTGAGATGGTGCGGCTGGTGCCTGGGCGAGGCGGGGTGCGGCCGCTTGTCTACTTACATATCCGTTGAGATGGTGCGGCTGGTGCCTGGGCGAGGCGGGGTGCGGCCGCTTGTCTACTTACATATCCGTTGAGATGGTGCGGCTGGTGCCTGGGCGAGGCGGGGTGCGGCCGCTTGTCTACTTACATATCCGTTGAGATGGTGCGGCTGGTGCCTGGGCGAGGCGGGGTGCGGCCGCTTGTCTACTTACATATCCGTTGAGATGGTGCGGCTGGTGCCTGGGCGAGGCGGGGTGCGGCCGCTTGTCTACTTACATATCCGTTGAGATGGTGCGGCTGGTGCCTGGGCGAGGCGGGGTGCGGCCGCTTGTCTACTTACATATCCGTTGAGATGGTGCGGCTGGTGCCTGGGCGAGGCGGGGTGCGGCCGCTTGTCTACTTACATATCCGTTGAGATGGTGCGGCTGGTGCCTGGGCGAGGCGGGTGCGGCCGCTTGTCTACTTACATATCCGTTGAGATGGTGCGGCTGGTGCCTGGGCGAGGCGGGGTGCGGCCGCTTGTCTACTTACATATCCGTTGAGATGGTGCGGCTGTGCCTGGGCGAGGCGGTGCGGCCGCTTGTCTACTTACATATCCGTTGAGATGGTGCGGCTGTGCCTGGGCGAGGCGGGGTGCGGCCGCTTGTCTACTTACATATCCTTGAGATGGTGCGGCTGGTGCCTGGGCGAGGCGGGGTGCGGCCGCTTGTCTACTTACATATCCGTTGAGATGGTGCGGCTGGTGCCTGGGCGAGGCGGGGTGCGGCCGCTTGTCTACTTACATATCCGTTGAGATGGTGCGGCTGGTGCCTGGCGAGGCGGGGTGCGGCCGCTTGTCTACTTACATATCCGTTGAGATGGTGCGGCTGTGCCTGGGCGAGGCGGGGTGGCGCTTGTCTACTTACATATCCGTTGAGATGGTGCGGCTGGTGCCTGGGCGAGGCGGGGTGCGGCCGCTTGTCTACTTACATATCCGTTGAGATGGTGCGGCTGGTGCCTGGCGAGGCGGGGTGCGGCCGCTTGTCTACTTACATATCCGTTGAGATGGTGCGGCTGGTGCCTGGGCGAGGCGGGGTGCGGCCGCTTGTCTACTTACATATCCGTTGAGATGGTGCGGCTGGTGCCTGGGCGAGGCGGGGTGCGGCCGCTTGTCTACTTACATATCCGTTGAGATGGTGCGGCTGGTGCCTGGGCGAGGCGGGGTGCGGCCGCTTGTCTACTTACATATCCGTTGAGATGGTGCGGCTGGTGCCTGGGCGAGGCGGGGTGCGGCCGCTTGTCTACTTACATATCCGTTGAGATGGTGCGGCTGGTGCCTGGGCGAGGCGGGGTGCGGCCGCTTGTCCGGCAGCTTGTCCTTGTTGTGCGCCGCGCCCGGCTCGCTCGCACCCGCCGGGTCGCCTCCGGCTCCACGCGGCGCCGCGTCTGGGGAGGGACATACAACAACATAACGTCACGCCGTTTATCACCGAAGGGGTAGGCAGACGTGCACTGTACAATGTAACACCCAATTTTCACTATTTATGTTATGAGTTCCATGTAATAGGGGGTGAGTCTATTGCTATATACCGGGCACATTTCCGGATTCCGTGCTACTACTGTGATTTTTTTTAAAACCCAGTATTACTTTGCCCGACCCGGGAATTGAACCCGAGACTCCTTGCCTCTCGGCCAATGAGGCAATATTATTAGAGGATAAGAAAATTTGAATCCAATATAATAATGAAACGGTCTCCAGCCACCGTAAGCGCGGGCCTGCGGACGGCGAGCATGAGTGGCTTCCCTCCGACCAGAAACAGACCCGCGCGGACGGCGCCCAGCGGGCCGCGCGACACAAAGAGCCATTAGAATTTTTTAAGCAGCACTAGATATTTAGTTTTTTTTTATCGTTTCTCTTGATCTATTTATTATATTGTTATTTATATTGTCTGTACGGTCTGTTTCAGTATTATTCTTTTTTTTTCATTTATGCAGAATGTATGTATTTTTTAATATTGTATAGTACTCACACCATATTAATTAATTTATTCCAGATCATAAACGTGAGGACTTGTTATTGGCTCATTGTTACCTACGCCTATTGTTATTTTTATCCATTTTTATAAGCTGTAAGTCTTCCATGAATTATAAATAAATAAATAAATAAATAAATAAATAAATAAATTAGACCACCACGGATGGGGCCCAACAGGGCTGAAGCCGATACGGAGTCGCGGAGAACTTAATAGGTTACCGGGGCCCCCGCTCTAAGTCAGCAGAAGGAACGGGGTAGTGTTTAGTCAGAGTGTGACACTCCCTCCCGCCCCTTCCCCGCTTAAAACAGATATACTCACGACGTCGAGCTGCGCGTCGTGCGGCGTGGTGTGGTCGGGCGCCGCGTGCACCGCCGCGCGGGTGCGCGACACTGACACCGCCTGCGGGTCACATATACATATATTATACTCAATTATTTATTTAAGTTTTATACAATACAATTGCATAAGGAGGACTTAATGCTAACAGCATTCTCTGCCAGTCATCCTTTGGGTAGTGCAGAAATGTATGTGGTAGGTCGTCACTCATCTATACATACAATATAATCGTAGGAAAGGGAAAACTGTACATTGGACATTTTTCTAAAATAATGCTCGGAGCGTGATCTGCAATCGATGCCGAAGTCATAAATATGTTTTTTTGAATTTTTGACTATTATGTATATCCGGGATGAAATCATTACTGGTGCACGGATTTACCTCAAATTTTGCATGAATATTACTAACAAGTCGGATCAACATATAGGCTACATATTATCACGCTATCACTGTGCCGTGAAATCCAAGCTCAATAGATTATTATTTGTTTTTTTTATTTTTAATTGGACATGTTCAGTATAAACAACTTTTTATTTTTATCTAACATTCTAATCTATCAAATAAAAACGGACGATACACAATATTCAAAACAAAAAATAAAAATCAACATAAAATCGGACATCACATCACATTTTATGAATCTATATCTAACCACAAATGAAATCAATTTTACATAACCACAATCTGTGAGTGGATGCGCAAACGATCGTACCACTTGCGCAAAAAAAATGAGACATTGCGCAAATTGAAACTTTTATACACAATTTAATGATTGAACATTTACATTTACATGTTTTATACATTTACCCTTCGAGCGTCCTTATGAGCACCCGGTGGATCATAAGAAAAAATGCTCCATGCTGCTTTCTCTTTTATAAAATCTATTATTAATGTTTTGTTTTTATTTTGACTGTATTTGTTTTATTTCTATTGTAATGATGCTTGTTTTCGTGTGCCAATGGCCAAATAAATGCATTTTCTTTCTTTCTCCAAATGTCACGTGTGCACCCGTTGGATCATAAGGAACGCGGACGCTCGACGGGTTAACACAGATGTATAAGTTACTTATATATCTCACCTATTCATAATTTGAAAGTTGTTGTTTAAAACAAATATGCCTGGAAGTTATACATTTTTTGTTTTATATACTAGAAACAGAAAACAGAGGAAGTAATTCATTGTAGAGCACTACGTTTCACCAGTTATATAAGGGATGAGCCTATTGCTGTATACCAGGCATTCTTATATAACAATTTAACTAATTTAAGTGTGGGAGAGCCATCCTTCGGCACGAAAGGGTCGGATCGAACGGAGTGATAACACGGCCTCTTAGAAAACCGACGTTGAAACAACGCTTGCGTTGTGTGAGTGAAGTTACCAGAGGCCCAATGACGATCCCCCCTTCCCTAATCTCCCTAATGCCTGAATCCCCAACATTCCTTAAATTCCTAATCCCCAAAAGGCCGGTAATGCACTTATAACACTTTTGGTATTCCAGGTATGCGTGAACGATGCCGATTGCTTACCATCAGGTGATCCGTCTGCTCGTTCACCGGCTAATCACATAAAAAAATTTCTAACGAATTTTTGCCCTCTTATAAAATAACTCAGAATTCTAGGTTATATCATAACATATAATAACATTACGTCTTTTATCCTCGAAGGTGTAGGCAGAGGTGTACATTATGGCACTTAATGCCACTGTACAATGTAACACCCACTTTTCACTATTTATGTTATGAGTCCCATGTAATAGAGGGTGAGCCTATTGCCATATACCGGGCACAATTTCAGACGCCGTGCTACTACTGAGATTTTTTTAAACCCATTAATACTTTGCCCGACCCGGAAATCGAACCCAAGACCCCTTGCCCGGCAGTCCCAATTACGACCACTCGGCCAACGAGGTAATCATATCACGATGTTTTATAAGTAATGATCAGTAAATTGCAAATTGCATTAGACCAATTGACCATGGCTATAGGCCAGTTAAATAAAACAGTATAAAATAAATACCAAAAAAGCTACTTACATCTTTCTCCCAATCATAAGGGTCAGTATCCCGTATCCCGCGCCGTTTGCAGCACCGTTCTAACAGTGACGTCAACATGGCGTAGTCTGGCGAGTCGGCGTATTCCAACTGTTGGACATGTTCTAAGAACTGGCGTAATTCTGAAGGTAGGTGCTTCAGGAGGAGACGGTGGTCGTATTTTTCTTTCATAAGACCGACCTGCGGATGTAGAAATGTTGAATTTTAGTGTGGTTTTTGACAGATTTATAAATCAAAATTAAAGAAACTCAAACTCAAAAGCATTTATTTCAATTAAAACATAATTTGGTACTTTTGAAACGTCAACAAATATGAAATAAATAATAGTCTGTCAGTCTGTCCGTCAGTGAAGCTAGGCACAAGAAAAGCATCACGTTTCAGTCTAGGCGACTCTAATTATGCATTTTTAGACTAGTGTTTTCTTTTGTGTCGTGGGTGCATTTACAAACACTTGGACAAACATAACACACCGGAACAACTTATTTTATAAATCAAATTTATAAGAGTTCTTCGGTGCGGGAATCGAACGCATGATACGTTTTGCCGTAACCGATTGTACAATCACTGCGTCAATCGTGCAGGAAGTAAACCATACCGAAATCTACTTAGTCGTTTAAAAAGAGTATTTGTTCTCTTGGTCTTTTTAGTCTACTCACATACTTCAATTATTCAACACGGTCTACTAAAGCCTGCTCGGTTTACTAAATATTTCTCGTCTACTTGGTCTTTTATACTACTTACGACAATTATAATAACTACAATTTGAACATGGTCTACTCCAGTCTACTTAGGGTCTTCTCGGTCTACTGGTCTACTAACCTGTTCTTTATCTTTAATCTTTCTCCAAGGCAGCTGTCCATTGACAAATTCTACGAGCATGTAGAACAATGACCATAGATCATCGTGTCTACCCATCTCTTTGTTTTTATGGGCGTTTATTGATGCGTAGCGGACGGTTCCTGAGAAAAAACAATACATTTCATTGAATATAATAATTGAATGATTGGAAGACATAGGATACCAGGTTATTTGACAATTTTGCTAACCAAATGGCACAGACACTGAATCCAGACGTCTCTAATCACCACATCCTCAAATTCCTGATCCCCAAAAGGCCGGCAACGCAATAGTAACTCCTCTAGTGTTGCATGTGTCCATGGGCGGCGCTGATAGCTTACCATCAGATGAACCGTCTGCTCGTTTGGCGTCTCATCTCATAAAAAACAGCCTATTTGTATAATTGCTTACTAGAGATAGAATGTGACTCATCTGTTATAGAGTTTACTAATCTTATGCGCTAATATATGTACGTATATCATACATAGTGCAATAAATGGTTTTTCTTTCTTTTTAGTCTAGGTTAGGCAAAACTATACAATTACTGAACTATCACCTGAAATAACTAAAAATCGCTGGTTACTCACGTGAATATACTGACAAAAGCTCTATTAGTTTCGACCGACGCGACAGAGGGGTTCTTCCTCATGACCAGCGTGCGCGGTCGCGGCGATGTCACGCAGTCTACTGTGGTTCGAAACTAGTAGAGCTTTTCTCAGTATATTCACGTACATAGCAGTCTAGTTTTAGCGCGTACCCAGTCTAGTTTTTTATGTATGTATGTATGTATGAAATACAGATTCTGGCAAAGAAATCCATAATGCAAGTAGGGGATAAAGTGTATAATAAATAGAATGTACCTCTGAAGCCGGCGGCGGCGCGCGGCGGGCGCACCTGTCCGTTGCTGGTGGTGTACTGGCGCGCCAGCCCGAAGTCCAGCATGTACACCTTGCGGCAGTTGGACGGGTGACGACCTATGCTGAAATTACTCTGGAATAAACAATAAGGGATTAATATTATGTTTTATTCTTATAATTTCTAATCATAAGTTTGTATAATCACCAACCCGCATTGAGCAAGCGTGGTGATTAATCAAAGTCAAAGTCAAAATCAATTATTTCAATTAGACCAGAAAGACACTTTTGAACGTCAACAATAAAATTAAAAGTGAAGCTATTTGCTCATTCCAAGGCGTAGATTCCTATGGAGAAGAACGAGCAAGAAACTCCATAGGTTACTCTTTTTCAATCAGGTTCACAATACAATTCTCCAGTTACATAGTTTGCTGTTTGGATTGTGCGAGAACAATGTAACACTAAAATCTAGTCAAAGTGCTCAAACCTTCTCCGTGTGAGAAGAGGATTTGCTCAGAAATGGGTATTTATAAGCTGTTGATGAAGATTGTGTTTTTCAAGGCGACGGAATTAATTTTTTATTATACTCTCCTCAAAACTCACTATTGAGTGGAGGAGATAGCGGGATGAACTTGACGCCTATGAAAAGGATTGGCCACAGACAACTTTAAGAAGAGACGAGTCAAAGGAGGGTAGGGAGGCCTTTGGCCCGCAGTGGGGCAAACATTGCTAGAAATCTATACTAATATTATAAAGCTGAAGAGTTTGTTTTTTTGTTTATTTGTTTGAACGCGCTAATCTCCGAAACTACTGATTCGAATTGAATAATTCTGTTTGTGTTGGATAGCGCATTTATCGAGGATGGCTATAGGCTATAAAACGTCACGCTACGACCAATAGGAGCTGAGCAGTACGTGTGAAAGTAGTAGCAGGAAGTAGCTAGTGAATAAATATAATCTCCTTTAAGTTTGTCTTCAGATTGTCCAATCACTGAAGGGTGGACGAAAACATGCTCTAAATTTTCGGTGACGCATCGTTGATTACCAAATATAGAGATTATGAGCCCCGGTAACCCGGCATCGGCCCTATTGGGCCCCATCCGTGGTGGTCTGATGGCTCTTTGGTTCAAGAGAAGGTGGCCGCTTATTTCCAACGTCCAAGTAGTAATATAATGTAAAAAATGTACTTACTGGTTTAATATCTCTGTGTAGGAATCCCACGGAGTGTATCGAGTCTATAGCTTTGAGTATTTGTAATCCCAGTCTGGAACAATACATAATACTTTAGTAAAGAATAATAATAATAATAATTCGAAAATGCCTCGTTGGCCGAGTGGTCGCAAGTGCGACTCGGTAAGGGGTCTCGGGTTCGATTCGCGGGTCGGGCAAAGAATTATTGGGTTTTAAAAAAAATCTCAGTAGTAGCACGGAGACTGTAATTGTGCTCAGTACATGGCAATAGGCTCACCCCCTATTACATGGGACTCATAACATAAATAGTCAAAAGTAGGTGTTACATTGTACAGTGGCATGATGTGCATTTCTGGGTACCCATTTGGGGATAAATGGCTTGATGTTGCACTTCTGCCTACCCCTACAGAGATAAAAGGCGTGATGTTATGTTGTGTGGTATTATTTATTCTAAAACGGTGGTAACGTGTTATGTTCGCGGTAGAATTTTAAAAATCGTAGCCCCGCCCACGCCTCGCTCGATCGGGTTTCGCACTCGAGCCAACAGTAGCCGCCGAAACGTTTAGCGAGTGAGCGGGTATTAAAAACGCTCCGCGCATGGAATAGGAGGCAAACGAGCGGACGGATCACCTGATGGTAAGCGAACAACTCCGCCCATGGACACCCGCAACACTAGAGGAGTCACGATTGCGTTGCCGGCTAACATCCAGCCAATTTGTTGGCTTACTCCTGAATCCAATTCCGATCGATCGACATTGGTATTGTGAAATTTCGTACTCTTGAGTCGCAACACTAGCGCCCATTGCATCCGTATTGCGCGGATATTGAATGAACTAAATGGTATTGAGTTTGGCTTTATATTCCGTACTCTGAATGCTATTTTAACCCGTCGAGCGTCCGCGTTCCTTATGATCCAATGGAAAGAAATAAAGAAACAAAATGCATTTATTTGACCATTGGCACACAAAAACAAGGATCATTACAATAGAAATAAAACAAATACAGTCAAAATAAAAACAAAACATTAATAATAGATTTTATAAAAGAGAAAGCAGCATGGAGCATTTTTTCTGATGATCCACCGGGTGCTCATAAGGACGCTCGAGGGGTTAACAGCTACGATAGGGGTTGTAAAATTTTGACATTGAATAATTATTGAGATATTATTAGATTGAAATTGCATTAATATTGAGATTGGTTTCGAGAGTAAGAACCTTGGTCACTGTTAAACTCAAACTCTTTATTTGCATGTTAAGGTAATACATACAGGTCTTATGAAATAGCAGGCACAGCTTAACGGCCTTTTTCAGGCGTTGCAAATTTTAGGGGTGTCACCAGCTTATTATAAATTACATTTTGGTTAACATTTTTTTAACATATTTATTTATTTGTTCGGAATATTGGTATCGGAATATTGGTAAGTGCAAAATGTAAGTGGGTATATATAGAATATTTATATTAAAATGTATAGTATGTTGGTGTGTGCTTGTGGGTGTATGTATGGGGTAGGTTTAACATTTAATTTTGGTGTTATATTTTTCTTCGAAGTATTCTTTTGTCGAGTAAAAGCATTTTTGTATTAGGAACTTTAAGGTACATATTGACATAAATTTCCTCACCTAAGCGTGGTAGAGAGTGAGAAGGCCCCCCTTGGCTGCGCCCGGCGCAGCTCGGCGAGGTTCCGTCCCTGCAGCTGCATCACCACGTAGTTGAAGCGAGCGTTGCGGCCGCAGCCTATGAAGCGACACACGTGCTCTTTGCCTGGAACCGTAAGGCATTCAAGTTATTAAAACATCCCCATCTTTAGGATATAAGTGGCTACTGCTGAGCAAAAGGATCTTCTTACAAGCAGAAGAAATCATCGAGTAAGCTGCGCGACATGGCCGAGACCGCGCACGCTGCTCATGAGGAAGAACCCTTCAGTGGTTCGAAACTAGTAGAGCTTTCACGTGAGTAACCCGCAATATGTAGTTAATTTAGTATGCCTCACGATAGTTATTATAAAAACAGAAGGAATCATGCTTCCTCATGAGCAGCGTGCGCTACCTTGAGTAAGCTGCTCTGTGGCTCAAAACTAGTAGAGCTTTTCTTAGTATTTTCACGTGAGTAACCCGCGAGCTTTAGTTAAGAAGGAACCATCATTATTGGAAATAGGTTTAACATTATCACATGTAATATAGGCCAAGAAACCAATTGCCATAAATTATGATGTCTGACGAGTCTGGCTTTAACTGATAATTTTCAATAGTTAAACTAGCCGATTGGACTGCGAGGTAAACAAAATCATACTAACAAATATTATAGAAGTCGATTTCATCATCATCATCATAAGCCTATAGGCTAGCCTAGAGGAAACCTAGGCTTATAAATTCTTATCATAATTTTGTAATCGCCAATCCACATTGAGCAAGCGTGGTGATTGATGCCGAAACCTTCTCCGTGCGAGAAGAGGTTTTGCTCAACAGTGGACACTTATAGGCTACTGCTGATGATGATGATGATGATTATGCTAAAATAATTCCCTCTCCTAAAACGTTAATGATTACAAGTAATAATAAAGTTCAGCTCAAAAAGAATCTACCTTGCAATTTCTTCAACACAGCGACCTCCATCTTGAGCACCTGTTTGGGCTGGCGAGCTGACTCCACCTTCAGCGCGACCTGCTCCTGCGTCACCAGGTCCAAACCTTCGTAGATCTCGCCGAAACCACCGCCACCGATCTTCTTTACCACCTGGAAAAGCAAAAAGGGTATTTTATAGGTCTTTTCAAGTTATAGGCATAGTGTGAACTGCCTCGTCAAGAGGTCTCAGTAAACGGTATGTTCGAATAATAGGTACATATATTTCTGGGTTTCTGATCTAAAATTTTCAGTATTGAGAGATATCGGTCAACAAATCTTACGACGCGCCAGCCCGCAGTTATTGGTTCGCAGCAACACACTCCCGCGGCGGGCGCCGGGTATGTTCGTCCCTGCTTGCGCGCCAATAATAACATTAAACTATATCTACATAAAAGTCTGTCTTTTAGTATACTTAAACATGTAAAACTTTGGATTAACGTCAAATCTATCACCGCTTTTAAAAATAAAAGTCAAAATGTAATCTTTAAGTATAACTTCATATTTTTTCCTTTCCTAGCACGCTTACCGGTCTCCTCAGTCTACTTGGTCTACTCGGTCTACTGGTCTACTAGACTTACCTTCCATCGTTCCTTGACAACGTGGCCTGGTTGCAGCAGGTCCTCGGACGCCATGGTGATGTGATGTGCGCGCCGCGAGGTGTCGCACCTGGACGCCTCGCGCGACTGACGACCACCGAAGTTCGGGAGGGTTCGAGACCTGGAATTATAATAGCACATTATTTATTATTTGTGAAAATGTCTAGTAAACAGTGTCGAAAAGACGGTTTTCGTCGTAATTATGCACATCGGTCAACACCTTTTTTATGGAATAACCTGATGGATTACCTGCTAATGGTAAGAAATCGGCGCCGCCCATGGACATCCGCAACACCAGAGGTGTCACAAAACCGTTGCCGACGTTTTCGATATTAGAGCATCAGAGATAAGACTGGTAACCTCAATCACACGACGAATATCAAAACAAGTATTATTTTACGTCGGTCGATCCGATATTCCGACCCATTCGTGCCGAAGGATGGCTCCGCCACATGAGAGTGGCATAAAATACTCATCGACTACGTCTAAAAAACCCGACTTAAACCCCATATTTTTTTGAAGTTGATTAAGTAATGCCTATACTAAAATCTTCTCTTGAGTGTAACAAAACCTTTTCTGAAAGCCGCGTCGAAATCGGTTCAACCAATTGCGAGATATTCGCGCACAAACATACATACATACATACATACAGGTCAAATTGAGACACTGCCTTTTTGAACTCGGTTTTTACCACAAGATAAGTTAATGTTAGATAAATAACAAACGAGCCGTGAAGAAGGGTTGAAAGTACAAACCCGTATCCTTAATTAGGGCTCGTACACAAAACTGCGATGCGACATCGCATCGCCAAAATGTGCGAGCTCCCGCTACGCATCGCAAGAACTTGCGAATTGATTCGCATCGCGCATCAAAATCTTATCTTCCCAAAATCTTCTTTGTTTCTTGTTCCTGTATCTCCTAAGCAATAACAGAAGTGCACACTTCTTACGATCCATGTCACGACCTAGTTTTCAATTTAAAGTACGTTTAGTACGGTTGACGGTCGTCGAAGGAATGGTCACCCTTGAGAGACGCTTTGTCGCACGAAATCGCATCGCAGCAATTCGCATCGTAATTTTTTGCGTTGCGTATTCGCATCGCAGTTTTGTGTACGAGCCCTTAAACAGATGTTATCTCAGTAAAGGTCAGACGTTAATCTAACTTGAACTCTAAAGGTTCATGTTGTAGAGTTGAACATTTTATTACTTCAGCCACGATTAGGTTTCCAGCCTTGAACTAAGTGGTTTGTGTAATCAACTGTGATAGGTACTGTCTGTCTGTCTGTGGATCATTTTCGGAATTTTTTTTTATGGGATAAGCCCATAAGCGTAATCGAGCAGACGGATCACCTGATGGTAAGCAATCGGCGTCGCCCATGGACACCTGAAGATCAGAAGCGTTACAAGTGCGTTACCGGCCTTTTGGGATTAGGAATTTGAGGATTCAGGGATTGGGAAAGGGGGGGGGGGGAATTGGGCATCCGGTAACCTCACTCACACGACGAAACACAATACAACGTTGTTTCACGTCGGTCTTCTGTAAGTTCGTGGTAACACTCTGGTCGAGCCGGCCCTTTCATGCCGAAGCATGGCTCTCCCACACTTAGATGGTTTCAACGAGTCTATCTGTAGTTTTTCTTACTCATCATCATCAGTCTATAAGTGGCCACTGCTGAGCAAAGGCTTCTTACACAAAGAAGGTTTAACGATTGATTACTACATTTCTTCAAGACGCATATATACATCGAAAGTACTACAAGTTGTTTTGCCGCGGGGCGAAAACGAAATAGATTACACACTTCACATTTTTTATGGTGTATAGACTTCTACATTTTCTATTTTTGCAATTGTTAGTGCTAGGACCGTGCGAGACTTTGCCTCGCCATTTCTTTTCTAATTACCCATATTCTGACAGTTTGAGTATTTGTGCGACCCACGCAAATGTTCTTTAGGTTGGTATTGAGGTTGGTATTGTTCGTCGAATCAGTCAGCCTCACCTGTTAATTGAGCTGATTGTAAACTGACACATGCGTACTGCCTTCAGAACGGGTCCGCTCAAACTGTTGTGGTTCTTTCCTCAAAATGCTACTACAGAAAGAACTTGCACGGTTCTCACACATAATCTTTTATACACATTTGTCTGGACTTTAAAAGAGACCTATGAGTTTGTTTCAGCATTTCTTCTCAGAGTAGTCAGTTAGGAAATGTCGACCTCATCGTTCGCTTGATAAAATTGACGTGTAAAAGTGTTGCCTTATGCCTATTCACTTGTTTAACTTACAAATATTCGTTTATACGTTTTTATCCCATGGAGATAAGCATAAACTACAGAGATTTTAGATACTAAAATAAATCTGTAAGGTCTGAAACTCAGGCATTGGCTTCCAAGGTCGCGCTGCTATTCTGAAAATGTGTATTTGAGTGTAAAGCTACGGTTGGTAAGGTTCTTGTAAATCGTTACGTAAAAGCCTATATTTTACTTTATCTCTTAGCTTTTACGTGCGGCTTTACTCGCATGAATATCTCTTGAAAATCCTTCTCTGTACTTCCAACTATATGTATGCAAAATTTCAAGAAGATTGCTTCAGTAGATACCGATTAAAGAAGTATGTAAAGAGCGTAGTACGTGGCGCTCTGTAGTTTCTGTATACCATCAGATGTATGAATGTGATGGAAATTAAAGAAGTATGTAAGGAGCGTAGTACGTGGCGCTCTGTAGTTTCTGTATACCATCAGATGTATGAATGTGATGGAAGCTAAAGAAGTATGTAAGGAGCGTAGTAGGTAGCGCTCTGTAGTTTCTGTATACCATCAGATGTATGAATGTGATGGAAGCTAAAGAAGTATGTAAGGAGCGTAGTAGGTGGCGCTCTGTAGTTTCTGTACACCATCAGATGTATAAATGTGATGGAAGCTAAAGAAGTATGTAAGGAGCGTAGTAGGTGGCGCTCTGTAGTTTCTGTACACCATCAGATGTATGAATGTGATGGAAGCTAAAGAAGTATGTAAGGAGCGTAGTAGGTGGCGCTCTGTAGTTTCTGCATACCATCGGATGTATGAATGTGATGGAAGCTAAAGAAGTATGTAAGGGGCGTAGTAGGTGGCGCTCTGTAGTTTTCGTGTACCATCAGATGTACGAATGTGATGGAAGCTAAAGAAGTACGTAAGGAGCGTAGTGGGTGGCGCTCTGTAGTTTCTGTATACCATCAGATGTATGAATGTGATGGAAGCTAAAGAAGTATGTAAGGAGCGTAGTAGGTGGCGCTCTGTAGTTTCTGTATACCATCAGATGTATGAATGTGATTGAAGCTAAAGAAGTATGTAAGGAGCGTAGTAGGTGGCGCTCTGTAGTTTCTGTATACCATCAGATGTATGAATGTGATGGAAGCTAAAGAAGTATGTAAGGAGCGTAGTAGGTGGCGCTCTGTAGTTTCTGTACACCATCAGATGTATGAATGTGATGGAAGCTAAAGAAGTACGTAAGGAGCGTAGTGGGTGGCGCTCTGTAGTTTCTGTATACCATCAGATGTATGAATGTGATGGAAGCTAAAGAAGTATGTAAGGAGCGTAGTAGGTGGCGCTCTGTAGTTTCTGTATACCATCAGATGTATGAATGTGATTGAAGCTAAAGAAGTATGTAAGGAGCGTAGTAGGTGGCGCTCTGTAGTTTCTGTATACCATCAGATGTATTTTTTTTTTTTTTTTTTTTATAATTGATGGGGCGACGTTTGACCACTATCTCACCTGTTGGTAAGCGATGATGCGGTCTACGTTGGAGCACGTCGTCCCATAAGCAACCTATTCACTCGGGCCTTGAAGACTCCCAGGTTATACCCTTCAGGAAATACAGACTCTGGCAAAGAATTCCACTCTTTAGCAGTACGCACAAGGAAGCTTGAAGCAAAGCGCTTCGTGCGTGTGGGCGGAACATCTACCATGAATCGGTGACGCTTCGCGGATTGTCTTGTGGTACGATGATGGAAAGGACTAGGGGGAATCAAGTTGTGCAATTCCCCCGCACACTCCCCGAAATGTATCCGGTAGAAAACCGAAAGGCTTGCAACCTTACGCCTGTGTTCGAGGCTTTGAAGCCGAGCCTTCACAAGCGCATCATCGTCGATGAGCCTCCTGGCACGCCTCTCAATGTGCTCTAACGCGTCCAGCTGATATTTAGCCGAGCCGTCCCAAAGATGAGAGCAGTACTCCATACAGGACCGAACCTGTGCTTGGTACAGGCTCAGCAATTGTTTCGGCGTGAAGTACCGTCTCACCCTCCAAAGGACACCCAACTTCCTACCAGCCAGTTGCGCTTTTGACTCTATATAGGAGCCAAAGTTGAGCGTGGGCGTCAGAGTTACACCAAGAAGCTCAAGACGATCGGTTATCGGTACGGATACATTCCGGAAAGTAGGAGTCAGCGGAAATTGACTCCGTTTGGCGGAGAATAGACACGCCTGGGTCTTGCTAGCATTGAACCTAACCAAGTTGGCGTCACCCCAGTCGGACACCGCCTTCAAGGTCGAGTTCAAACGTTCGACCATGGATTCTCTTAAAGACTGGATCTGTGTTCCGCTAGTCCGCGCACCGGACACATACCTTTCAACAACTGTGCTGTCATCTGCATACCCAAAGATACCGGGCTTAAGCAGGTCGTTTATGTGCAGCAAAAAGAGCGTCGCTGAAAGTACTGACCCTGGGACGCCGGCATTAATACCGAATTGGTCAGACGAGCAGCCATCGATGACTACTCGTATTGACCGATCCCTCAGAAAGTCTGCTATCCATCTGCACAGACCAGTAGGAAGTCCATATGCAGGAAGCTTGCCGATTAGACTGTCGTGCCATACCCTGTCAAAGGCCTTCGAAATATCGAGGGAGACTGCTAGTGCCTCTCCGTGCCCCTCTATGGCCTCGCTCCATATGTGAGTGGCATACGCAAGAAGGTCCCCAGTCGATCGGTTACGTCGAAACCCGTATTGCCGATCGCTGAGGAGATCGTTACCTTCAAGGTATGCCAGGAGTCTATTGTTAAGAACACGTTCCATGCTCTTGCAGAGTATGGACGTGACCGAAATAGGGCGGTAATTGTTAGGGTCGGCACGACTACCTTTTTTAGGCACAGGCTGTACGTTGGCCAGCTTCCAAGCAACCGGTACTAGACCCGTCTCCAAGGAAAGGCGAAACAGACGTGTCAAGATTGGAGACAACTCAGGCGCACAGGTTTTTAAAACCAGGGCTGGGATTCCGTCGGGACCACTGGCCTTGTTCACGTCCAGATCGCGTAGCGTCCTATATACCTCCCTCTGTCGAATGCGAATTTGCGACATATTCGTCTTGCATACGCTATTAACAGAAGGAGGCAAGGCGCCACCAGTGTCAAGACGCGAAGACTCCGCAAATAGAGAAGCAAATAGATTTGCTTTCTCTACCGCAGTGTGAGCCAGCGTCCCGTCAGACCTCAGGAGCGGAGGAAGTGAGGAGCGACAGAAGTTCGATTCAACCGCCTTGGCCAGGGACCAAAAAGCTTTACTTCCCGCTGGGTAGGAAGCTAGTTTGTTCCCTATACGGCCAATGTGGTTAAATCGAGCCATCCGTAATGCCTTTTTGCATGACTTGGCAGCCCGATTAAAGGCTCTCTTCTTTTGATGAATGTCATCAGCCCTACGGCGCCTGGCATCCGCCCATGCCAAGTATGCCGCCTGCTTTTGCGCTTCGGCACGTCCGCAGTCGGCATCGAACCAAGGACGGGTCCCACCAGAGGATGCCACGTCCGAGAATGGAATGTAGTATTCCATGCCCTGGCGCAGCACCCCCGTTACGGCTTCCGCACAAGCTGACGGGTCATCAGAAGAGAAGCAGACAGGCCGCCAAGGATAGGAAGCGAAAAAAGATCGCATCCCATCCCAGTCCGCTGACTTGTATCGCCACATCCGCCGAGGTCCTCTGGGACTCGGATCTGGTGGGGAGTGTGTCGATACAGATTTCACCAGACAGTGGTCAGAGCTACCTAGAGGTGATGAGACTGTCACCGAGTAGCGGTCTGGATCAGTTGTCAGCAGAAGGTCTAAGCAATTGGCAGTGTGCGTATCGACATCGGGCACCCTTGTGGCTTCCTGGACCAGCTGGGTCAGGCCAAGCGAAAGCGCAAGCTTACGCATTTCCCTTCCAGCATGGTCGGTGCACTGGTATGGGAATAACCACTCCTGATGATGAGCGTTAAAGTCCCCCAGTAACACCAACTGGGCCGAAGGGTACGCCTGACGAGCCGCATCCGCCGCTTCGCCGAGGTATTGCGCTAATCTGGTCGCCTCCAAATCTCCGCTGTGCGACCGATAGACACAGGCATAAAGAATTTTCTCCATGCCTATGTCCACCAGTATCCAGAGAGCAGAAAAGCTTGGGTCTTCAAGGTTTCGGAGACGCCGGTAACAGATGCCGTCTCGGACGTATACGCATACACCTGCATGCGGAACAAAATTGTGCTCCAGGGAAAAACCAGGGTAGTTCAGGTAGGATACGTCCGACGGGCACCTGATCTGGGTCTCCGAGAGAAACAAGAGTGTAGGGTTCTCGGTCTCGAGGTGGTGATGGACCGCATTGACATTAGAGTGCAAACCTCGAATATTTGAGAGGTGCACTATGAAGGAGAGGGAGTGCAGCCGCTGTTGAACCCTTTTCTTATTTCTCAGTGTCATAATGTAGAGTGGAAGGTTGCTGAGAGGATGGCAGTGAAATGGTCCCCCACGCAGGCGACCCCACGACGCGCACCGTAGTTAACCACACCATTGGGAGGCCAGTCTGGAGACTGCGGGGACGCCCGAGCCCCCCCACGAATATCCATCGGGCCCTCTCCTCCGGTCGCCAACCGGCACGATGGCGTATCCATGGGATTTTTCGCTAGATGGCGGGGCAGCCTTTCACGTGTGGCTAGCACGCTAGTTGGGCCCCCAACTATCTGCGGTCGGCCAGCGGTGCACCGTGCCTCGGATCCCGCTACCCTCCGCGACTGGACACCCGGTGTAGCTACACCAGCGCGCGCCAGACCGGCTATCCTACAGTGGAACAACCATCTCGACCCATCCTCTCATACGGCGTCACCGAGCATCGTGGCGGAACACGGCTGGGCCGCTTGGCGACACGCTTTTGCTCGATGGGTGGTCATAAAGCCGGCGGCCGAAGCCTACCACCAAAGTGTCACCTGGTTAGCACCACCCAGAGGCCACGTGTAGGGATATTGATTTTGGGGTGCTCTCCTACGGACGAAGGTGACTCAGCCTCCATGTATGAATGTGATGGAAGCTAAAGAAGTATGTAAGGAGCGTAGTAGGTGGCGCTCTGTAGTTTCTGTATACCATCAGATGTATGAATGTGATTGAAGCTAAAGAAGTATGTAAGGAGCGTAGTAGGTGGCGCTCTGTAGTTTCTGTATACCATCAGATGTATGAATGTGATGGAAGCTAAAGAAGTATGTAAGGAGCGTAGTGGGTGGCGCTCTGTAGTTTCTGTATACCATCAGATGTATGAATGTGATGGAAGCTAAAGAAGTATGTAAGGAGCGCAGTAGGTGGCGCTCTGTAGTTTCTGTATACCATCAGATGTATGAATGTGATTGAAGCTAAAGAAGTATGTAAGGAGCGTAGTAGGTGGCGCTCTGTAGTTTCTGTATACCATCAGATGTATGAATGTGATGGAAGCTAAAGAAGTATGTAAGGAGCGTAGTAGGTGGCGCTCTGTAGTTTCTGTTTACCATCAGGTGTATGAATGTGATGGAAGCTAAAGAAGTATATAAGGAGCGTAGTAGGCGGCGCTCTGTAGTTTCTGTATACCATCAGATGTATGAATGTGATGGAAGCTAAAGAAGTATGTAAGGAGCGTAGCAGGTGGCACTCTGTAGTTTCTGTTTACCATCAGGTGTAAGAATGTGATGGAAGCTAAAGTATATAAGGAGCGTAGTAGGTGGCGCTCTGTAGTTTCTGTACACCATCAGATGTATGAATGTGATGGGAGCTAAATAAGTATGTAAGGAGCGTAGTAGGTGGCGCTCTGTAGTTTCTGTATACCATCAGATGTATGAATGTGATGGAAGCTAAAGAAGTATGTAAGGAGCGTAGTGGGTGGCGCTCTGTAGTTTCTGTATACCATCAGATGTATGAATGTGATGGAAGCTAAAGAAGTATGTAAGGAGCGTAGTAGGTGGCGCTCTGTAGTTTCTGTATACCATCAGATGTATGAACGTGATGGAAGCTAAAGAAGTATGTAAGGAGCGCAGGAGTTGGCGGTCTGTAGTTTCTGTATACCATCAGATGTATGAATGTGGTGGAAGCTAAAGAAGTATGTAAGGAGCGTAGTAGGTGGCGCTCTGTAGTTTCTGTATACCATCAGGTGTATGAATGTGATGGAAGCTGATGTATTAAAGGATCATAGCAGGTGACGCTCTGTAGTTTCTGCATACCATGGGATAAAGTTGTGAGTTTATGTATGGGTGAACTTTACAGCACCTTTGAGATATGGCTCTAGGCAATCATCTTAGAATTGTCACACACGTAAGGTCGCCGTATGAAAAGATGAACTCTATGAATAAATGATGGGTTTGCTTCAAAAGCTTACACTAGACGCAGGCGAAGCTTGCAGTTGACAGTATGACACATTTTGTTTCAAAGTAGAGATGTAAAGACACATTCACTTATCACCAGTTGTGTCATAAGTTTCATTTAATAACAACATATGTCACCACAAAGTTCTTTAGCCTTGACCGAAGATTTTTTATAGCATAAGCCGGTATACGAGCAAACGGATCACCTGATGGTAAGCAATCAGCGTTGTCCATGGAAACCCGGAACACTAGAGGAGTTACTAGTGCATTGCCGATCTTTCGGGGATTAGGGGATTGTAGGGGATTTGGGAAGGAGGGTAATTGGGCCTCCGATAACCTCACTCACACGACGTAACACAACGCAAGCGTTGTTTCACGTCGGTTTTCTGTGAGGCCGTAGTATCGCTCCGGTTGACCCGGCCCATTCATGCCGAAGGATGGCTCTCCCACACTTAAAAAGTAAATATGTAGATAGATAGATTGAATAAAAATTTTTGTAGCTTACCTCAATAATGGGTTTGGTTGGATTCGCGGAGCACTAGCCGCTTCCTGGCGACGCTCTTCCCTCTGTGGACAAAAATAATTCTTTTACAAACTACGTTTAAAGAGAAGTCAGTTACTCAACATACTAAAACCTTATCCTAAGTGTAAGAAACACTTTTCTGAAAACCGCGTCAAAATCGGTTCAGCCAATCGCGATATATTCGCGCACAAACATACATACAACATAACATAACATCACGCCTTTTATCCTCGAAGGGTTAGGTTAGGTTAGCCCACTTTTCACTATTTATGTTATGAGTCCCATGTAATAGGGGGTGAGCCTATTGCCATATACCGGGCACAATTCCAGACTCCGTGCTACTACTGAGAATTTTTAAAAAACCCAGTAATTCTTTGCCCGACCCGGGAATCGAACCCGAGACCCCTTGACCGGCAGTCGCACTTGCGACCACTCGGCCAACGAGGCAGACTATACATACATACAACTGTGAACCAAATCTTATACTATTATATACAGCGGAAGTTTGTTTTTTTGTTTGTATGTTTAAACGCGCTAATCTCCGTAACTACAAGTTTGATTTGAATAATTCTTTTTGTGTTGGATAACGCATTTATCGAGGATGGCTATAGGCTATAAAACATCACGCTACGACCAATAGGAGCTGAGCAGAGCGTGTGAAACCGCGCGTAAGTAGCTAGTACTTTTATATGACAGTTACCTGTGGTTCATGTCGTCGGGCCTTCTGTGCGGGTGCAGCGGACCCAGATCCTTGGGACGCAGTGTCCGCTGATGATGACGACGATTCTGTAATAGAAACCGATTCTTAGCTTAATTCATTGAGGAGGATACCTGGAATGTACAGACTGTATTTTTGTTGTCCTCAAGGTTATTTTCTTTTTCCGTCTCCTTGACCAAATATTGGTGTTACATTGTTCTCACATTATTGAACTCAACGAAAGAATGTAACCAAAAATTGTATTATGAACATGATTGAAAAAGAGTAACCTATGGAGTTTCTTGCTCGTTCTTCTCCACAGGAATCTATACTTGGGAACGAGCAAATATCTTCACTAGAGGACTGACCTACAGACTGACATTTTTTCTTATTATTTAAATGTTTTGTTTTGACGTTCCTGGACTAATTGAAATAAATGATTTTGAAGTTGACTTTGGAATAATACAGTAGGGGTATTTTGGCAATTTATCATCATTTTCAGATCAAAGCATCTATTTCAATTAACTACTTGTCTGCCGATATATGAGACAATAGAAAACATATTCTGTCTCACTTAGATCTGTTTTCCGACACTTCACAGGTTGATCCTGGATTAGGCACTGTTGAAACGTTAAATAGAATTGTCAGTGAAGCTAGGCGCTCGTTCCAAAGTGTAGTTTCGAATGGAGAATCAATTTCCATTGCATTACCTTTCTCTATTCATCTCCGTCTTCCATCTCTTTACGTTCCCAAATTAATTAGGGCTGAATTAAAATAAGTAGATTTGTCTGGCCCTGCATTCTTCTAAAGGTATTAAAACACATCTCTAATCAATTATCAGATCTCTACGCACTTACTATCACGATCACAGAAGCTGTGCAATACTTTAAAATAATACAAAATACATAATCACCTGTTAACTAAAAAATCACGGGTTACTCACGTGTATATACTGAGAAAAGCGCTACTAGTTTCTAACAGAGGGGTTCTTCCTCATGAGCAGAATGCGCGGTCGCGTCAGTAGGCTGCGGACATCGCCGAGTATATTCACGTAAGTTACCTGCCATTTTTTAGTTAATTTAATATGTCGTAAGATAGTTACTATAAGAACATAATTACCTGTGTTCTTAGATTGTTGCGGCGCCTCCTTCTTGAACGATGTGTCTCTCTCGCACGTCGGCTCTTGTTCCCTGCAACAAAATTAAAAACATACGCTTAGAAAATATACCCAAGTCTGATAAATCTACTTAATATTAATTAACATGACATAAAATCACGCCTTTTAGGCAGAGGTGCACATGACGGCACTTAATGCCACTGTACAATGTAACACCCACTTTTGACTATTTATGTTATGAGACCCATGTAATAGGTTGTGAGCCTATTGCCATATACCGGGCACAATTTCAGACTCCGTGCTAATACTGGAAAATTTATCAAAACCCAGTAATACTTTGCCCGACCGGGAATCGAATCGAACCCGAGGCCCCTTGGCCGGTAGTCGCACGTGCAACCACTCGGCCAACGAGGCAGTCGTATTATTATTTATGGTAATATTACAATATTAATTAAGGTTTTACAATATTGTTCAAATTGTACCATTATCGACTTGCTGCTATAGTCAGAGACATTTTATGATTAAATTAAGGCTAGGTTTTTCATTTTCAATTTCAATCATCGAATGGCTTTTCCCGCCCGGGTGAAGCGAGAGGGAGTGTCAGACTCTTACTGACTAAAAACCACCCCGTTCCTACTCCTGCACTTCGAGCCGGAGCCAACCTTTCACGTTCTCCGCGGCTCCGTATCGGCATCAGCCCTATTGCCCTGAGTAATCATTAAAAATTTAATGACTAATGTCATTAGAACTATCTACGTATGTTGATTATCAAACTTATTAGTAGAAGTGGACTATAGATACGTCTAAAATGCTTCTCTCTCTCATGCTTCGGCACGAATAGGTGGGCTCGACCAGTGATATCACGGCTACACAGAAGAAGTGAAACAACGCTTGCGATGTGTGCAGCCGTGTGTGTTGATGATCGATGGCCCAATACAGAAAACGTTCGAATATCCCGAAAATGTATGAAAGAAAGAAGAAAGAAAGAAAAACCATTTATTCTTGCGCATAAGCATAACACACATAACATAAGAATAACGAAAAACTACAAAAAATATAAATAAAATCCTTACTATCCTAATAAGGATAGTTATAATCCTAATAATATATTATATAATATTATAAATCGGAAAGTGAGTTTGTTTGTTTGTTCCGCTTTCACGCCGTAACTACTAAACCGATTTCTTTGTTTTTTTGCAGGCGTAAAGTTAGAAATCTGGCTTAAATAATAGGGTACTTTTTATCCCGGAAAGATTTGATATTCTCGAGGGAAAAAAGTATTGGCATAGATCGCGCTGTGTGTATTGGTATATGTCACATAGGCTACTTTTTATCCTTTTGTAACGCGAGCGAAGTCGCGGGTAAAAGCTAGTATAGATAATATAAAGCGATAAAAACATAATATATAAATTAAAAATACCAAGGTCCATAGGTAAAGAAAAATTATGTCTTTATGATTAATTTACTTAAACGTAACATAATACGCTTCCATGTTATTCATAGGTAGGTACATACATATACAATGACCAAACTAATATTACCATTAAAAAAAAATACACGAAACACAGTACAAACAACTTGGCGTTGCTCTACCGAACATCGAATTATCTGACAAAATGGTTCGCAGCAAATGATCATAATAAATAATCAATTAATTTGGCCTCAATTGATAACACAGCTGCATATAAACATCATCCTAGATCTGTCAAATATCTTCAATCAAACATCACCTTTAACACAGAGACAAAAGATTGAATATCCAATTACATAATGTGTCAAAATGGTATATTGTGATGCGAGGCCTATGAGCTACTTTCTATAATCAATTATCATTTGAATCACAACGTATTACGGTTGAATATCGACTGAACTAATTCGACAAATTGGTATACTTTCATTTGCAATGTATGAAAATTATCGATATTTGTATAGGTACATAAATAATTAGTTATACCTAATTTGTTGCAATGTTATTAAATTTAATAAGGGAATCGTAAGTCGTGATCAGTTGCTTGAAGCGTGACGATAGCTTAGATCTCAGAAATATTTGGGACAACTGTGAATCTATAAACAAAATAGATATTCGCAAAATCGACAAATGGTATATCTTATACTATTATATAAAGCAGAAGAGTTTGTTTGTTTGAACGCGCTAATCTCCGTAACTACAAGTCTGATTTAAATAATTCTTTTTGTGTTGGATAGCGCATTTATCGAGGATGGCTATAGGCTATAAAACATCACGCTGCGACCGGAGCTAAGCAAAGCGTGTGAAACCGCGCGGAAGTAGCTAGTATTTTAATAATGTACTGTGAGTTCGTATGCGCTTTCGAAGTTTGCATTTGGCAATGGTTCACCAGTCATTTTTTATTTAAACATTGTTATTTGTTAGTAAAACTATTGTATTACCGAGACAGAACCATTTCACTTCGGGACGAAAACTGGATTCCACGGTGTATAACGAAAAATACCACAAAATTGGAGCTCAGCTCAGTAGCATCTTTGTAAACAATCAATCAACATGTTTATTATATTCCAGTGAACCAAAAACTTGATAATTAACGGCACAGAGCTAGATAACGTACATCTGCTAGAGTTTAAGTTAAATTATTGATAACCTAACATTTTGACGTAGTGTTGTTATCCTTACTTATATTATAAATCGGAAAGTGAGTTTGTTTGTTCCACTTTAACGCCGTAACTACTAAACCGATTGCTTTGAAATTTTTGCAGACGTAAAATTAGAAGTGCGGATTAAATCATAGGGTACTTTTTATCCCTGAAAAATTTGATATTCCCGAGGGAAAACAAAAATATTGGTATAGATGGCGCTGTGTGTATTGGTATAGATAGCGTTGTATGTCATTTAAAACAAGTCAACGAATTACCTAATTGTAAAAATCTAAAAAGCGTGATATAACCGAATTCACGCGAAAGCTAATTGTTTGTTTGCCTGTCTTAAACGACAGAACAGAGGTACTAATTAACGTGATTTTTTAACTGAAGGTAGTTGAAGGGATGAATAGGCACATAGGCTACTATACGGCTATACTTTTTATCATTTTGTGACGCGAGCGAAGCCGCGGGTAAAAGCTAGTTAATATATAAATATAAGCTTTGTTTTTCAATATTTTGAACGTATTTGACATACATAGGGCAAAAGGTCTAATACTTTTGTCGGTAAACGAGCAGACGGATCACCTGATGATAAGCAATCGGCGTCCCTTATGGACACCTGGAACACCAGAGGCGTTACAAGTGCGTTACCGGCGTTTTAGGGATTAGGAATTTGAGGATTGTTGGGGATTAAAAAAAACATTGCCCCACACTGGATTTTCTCCAGTGTAGTGGGTGCGTTTACAAACATACAAGTTCACATACACATGACACCCAGACCCAAAACAACAATATGTGGATCATAACAAAGTGTTGTTCCGTGCGGGAATCGAACCCGCGACACGTTCTTTTGAGGGGAAAAAATCATCGAATGAATTGGAGAAGCCTGGGTGAGGCGGGAGAAGAGAAATCATAGGGCGGGAGAGGGGAACACATAGGCTACTTTTTATCCTACGGGAACGTGGGTAAAGCCACAAGCTGATGCTAGTATAACAATGAGTAACGTTTGTAACTATCATTTTTTTTTAATTCGCTAACATAACAATGCGTAGTTGTGAGCACAGAAAAGGAACCAAGTTGCGGGTAAATCCTAGATCACTACTAAACTTGCATTCTTCTCAAAAACCTAGGCACAACATCTAGGTGTAGTCTTATACTATTTATTTTTATTCCCCGCATCTTAAAAGTAGGTTACATCTATTATCTGAAAGTTCCATCTTTTGAAGCGCACATATAAATAAATATCTGACATTTGTCGTTTTAAAAAAGAACTATTTATGTCTATGCCAGCTGTCCGGTTCTAATTTTGAGAAGAAAGTGTTATGTAATCAAAAATAAGGTACGCATATCATTCTTAGTAGACATATTGGATTTAGATCGTGGTGGCCCGGAGGTTAAAGGTGCCTGCTTCTTGTGCATGAGACTGCGGGCTCGAAACCTACCAACGGCAAGTACCAATGTGACTTTTTCCGAGTTATATGTACTTTCTAAGATTATCTAGACACCACTGACAAACGGTGAAGGAAAACATCGTGAGGAAAACTGCAGCTGTAGCCAAATGCCATTTAGCGCTTGTCTACTTGTAGAGTAGAAAACCAAATTAACAAAATAAATAAATAAATAAATAAATAAATAAATAAATAAATTATAATGAAATTGACGATAAAAATATATAAAATTAAATGGGCAATATATTACAGAAGGGCCAAATTAAAAGTAGCCTTAACCGGCGAGCATGCATGAAAAGATTGATGACTGTTGATGAAGCGAAAGAGGTACATATGTAAGAATCGTAGTAATTGGCGTTCCCTAGTCTAGGCCTACCCCCATGGGAGACAGGCGTGAAGTTATGTATGTATGCATGATATTGACTTAAATTTTGACACTTGTCAGTGTCATTCCCATACATTTAGTTTTCTACTCTCTCTGTAGACAAGCGCTAAAGTGGCGTTTGGCTAAAGGCACTGGGCTTATCATTTTGAATTAAGTTTGAAATCGCCTATCCGCATTGAGCAAGCGTTGTGATTAATGCTCAAACCTCCGTGCGAGAAGAGGCTTTGCTCAGCAGTGGGCATTTATAGGATGATAATGATGATGACGATATTGGATTTATTATTGCGTTCATGGTGGAAGAAGTCGGATGTCAGTTGGTACATTAAGTAAGTGACTGACTGACTGACTGACTGACTGACTAGCCAAGATGTTTGGGTATCCAGGTAAAAAGGTAAAGATAGAATCAGTATGAGTGCACGGTTGGTGCGATGGCTGGGCAACCGGCTGCCGTGCAACGTGTCGCGGGTTCGATTCCCGCACGGGACAACACTTTGTGTGATTCACAAATTGTTGTTTCGGGTCTGGTCTTTGTGTATGTTTGTAAACGCACTTGTATGTTTGTAAACGCACCCACGACACAGGAGAATCCTAGTGTGGGGCAACGTTAAAAAAAAAAGTATAATA